TATTTTGGAGCACTCAAGCAGGGCCTTGGAGAATATTTTACAAATTCTGCAATTATCTCTGTGCTAACAATGTTGAGTCCCCATTCCTGAGAGATCTTGGAGCATTTTGTGATTGAACACCTCAGCTGTTGTTGCCTTTCTGTTCTCCTTCAAACGAAGTTCAAGAAAATGTCACCTCTTAAATCCTGAGACTTGGGTCCATTTTTGCCTGGCTCAGGGGGTGCTCCTACAGCTCTGCAGTGCAGCAGCCCCAGGGACGCTGCCATGGGGGCCATGGGGTGAATTGTGCTGGGGTGCCTCCCCTGGGCCTGGTGGCTGCTGCTGGTTGTCAGAGCATGCAAGAGTGCTGCTGGTGAGGGTGGGCTGAGACAGATATTTTAATAGCATATCCTTGTTCCGGGTCACGTTTCACTCTTCCTGTAAACTGCCTTTAGGATGTGTAGTGTCCACATACTTATTAGGCGTCTGTATTTCTGGCTGTCATTTTTGTCTGGATTCCTTTAAAAACCAAATGAGAAATAAAAAACTCTCTACTCCAAACAGGAAAAAAACCCAAAACAACACAACCCCTTTAAGTGGAAAAAGACTTGAATTTTACAACAAAAATGCCATTAATCCAATAAATTGTAGTTGCTGGAAATCTGCTTTATATGCCTCTTAAACATTATTATATGAGCTCCAGAGGCTCTGCGTAGCTTGGATCTAACTCTGCAAGCTCATATCTGGGGAACAAAGCAAGAGCATCCCTGAAGACCAGAAGGATGCTTGAGACCCCTGGGAGTGGAGCAGGGCACAGTGTCCTTGACAGAGGAATATGATGGGGGGCTGGCACCCTTCTGGCTTCGCCAGAAGCCTTTCACCAGCCTTCTGTCCCACACCTGCTCACAGCTGGGATAACCTGTGGTGCAAAACGGACCTGAGCATCCCAGCTTGCAGTGCTGCTAGTGAGGCTGCACCCATGCTTGGGGTGGTCCCCACCTGCTGCTGCAGGCAAGAAGATTTTGGTGTAGGAAAAAGCAGAACTCATCAGGCTGATGAATAAAAAGATGTCCCAGTCTTTAGAAAGTCTTTGTATATGAACTGGAGTACCCTTGGTCTTCAAAAGGATGGGGGTGTCATGGCCCAGGCTTGTCTAGCTCATTTCTTTTGTTAACTCAGCATGGCTGAACATATAAAGGAATGTAGGTAGTTGTTGATTTGCATTTACAGCCTATACCCAGGCCCCCAATCTTTATCCTTTTGAGCAAAGAATAGTAAGAATTTAATATCTTCAGCTTGAAGTTCCCAGGTGAATCTCCAGGTCACGTGGAAAATCTTTCAGGTTAAAAATCCTAAAACAGTCTTTACCCTGACAGCCACAAAAGTCAGAATCAGGGCTGGCTTTCCTCTGACGAAGTCTGCCTCCCTGATACACAAAGGACTTGACCAGCAGCCTGCATAAGATGAAGAACAAGAGGCTGGGAGTAGAGCAGAACTGAGAAAGGGGATGGATTTCAGTACTGGAGGATTGGGTGTTTTTCCCCACCACTTGACTGAACCTCCTCCTCCTTTCCAAATGTGACAGCCACATATATAAGCTAATAATGGCTTCAAGACTTAATAAGATACATGCTTTCAAAATAGCCATTTTCATAACAATAACATTAATTGCAAAATACATGCAGTAAAAATATTTTGTGAGGACATCACTTTACAGGAAAGTCAGAAGTACTGACCCGGAATAAAAATAAAAGCTTTGACCAGAATTCAGCCTTCCACCCCAAACCACCCTCTGTACTTGGGTGAAGTGTTGCTGCCTTAGGTGTTTGCCTTCTCTGTCTTCAACCTAAGGCTTCTGGAGCAGATCTGGACTGGCTGATATGTCTGTCTTTGTACTGACACCACTTTTTGCCTTGTTTCCTAAGAGACACCGTGGACTTAAAATGACAGCAAAGACTGTGTTAGTTGTTCTCCACCAGCAGAGCTTCCCCTAATACCACTGCAGTGAAGTGGGCACAAATGATCTCAGGTAACCCATGATGGCTGAATACCATGTCACAACCCTGGAAAGAAGACTCCATCTACATCAAAGTTAGTGCAAATCCTCTGCATGATTTCTAGCTATGCACCCATGCATCCCTTTCCACAGTAAATTTCTTGCAGTTCTGCACTTGCCACAAGATAGCAAAAATCTCACCAGACAAGCTTTTAGGAAAAAGACAAGCAGGTACCCTACATCACTATGGATCTACAGATCTGTAAAGTAGTAGATGTACAGATCAACTAAAGCACTTCAGATTTACAGTAGTGTCAGTGAAGATGGGATGAGTCTTTATAATGTTCTTGTTGCCTCCTGTTTTTAAAACCACTGGAAAAGTCTGACAGGTAATAAAAAAATGCAGGGAGCCTACATATACTTACCTATAAAAAGGTACTCCCACAGAGCCTGGATGGGGAACTTGCCAAATCAATGCTGGACCCAAGACTAGTGATCCTCTTCTATCTGATCTCCCCTTCCTTTTTCTTCCCTCTTTCTTCAATGCTTCATAAACCAAACCCTTCCTCCTAAATTCTCCTACTGCTGACTGAACACGCTCTGGCTTTTGGGACACTGCCTGCAGCTTTCATCAGTGCTCAGTGCTGCTGTTGTGGCTCAGTGGGTGCTCACTTGAGGACCTGGGTGTCCAAGGTGAGGCTGGGGCTCTAGTCTAGAGGAAAGTGTTCCTACCCATGACAGGGGTGTTGGGACAAGATGATCTTTAAGTCCCTTGCAGCCCAAGCCAATGGCTCTGCCCATGCCAGTATGGCTCTATGATTCCAATAAGCTACAAAAAATATCACCAGTGTAACACTCAAGTATGTTAATATATATCCATAAGTAATCACATAATACTAATTAGAGAATATTTTATTAATTTTGTATCAAAAATTTTACATATTCAATCTAAAAATGTGTAATTTAGTCAGGGTACACTAAAAGAAAAACATACAAGAGTTTCAGGACATGCCTAATAAAATAGTTATTCTTTTTTCTAACAGATTGGGGTTTTTTGTTGTTGTTTGGTTTTGGGTTTTTTTTTGGTTTTTTTTCCCAAATCAACCACACCATGTCTTACGGACAATAGCAAAGGTTTTCTGACTATCATGTGGAAAACCTTACTAGTGCAGAAAACTTTTTTTTTAGTCTCTATAAAGCTTCGTGCTAGTTTAGGACAAGAACACACATATACAGGATAGCAAAAATTAACAGTGTAATCCACTATTCAAAAAATTATTTGCTGAAAGTTAATTTTGAGAGTTAGTTCTAATGAAGGACTCAGGAGTTGCATCTCTACTTAAATTTAAGCCTATATATATAATTTAAAATGCTATAGGTACTGCCTAGGGACATCCAAATTCACCACTGACCTCTGTCTTTGATCCCAATGCTGCCAGTGCCAGGGGAGTTTGGGAGGTGTTGGAACCAGTGGAAGCATTCCAGAAACATTTTATTTTTTCAAAACTACCTTTTTCTTTAAATAACTTTTTTTTCCCAATTGGTTCCTGATTTTTACTTTATACCATAGTATAAGGTGAGAGATTTATATCAAAGTGGTTTTTACTTTATGCCATGCACAGTTATAAATAAATACCAAATTCAGAACTGCCCTAATTCCTGACTATCTGTGATGGATACAGTCCTAAACCCTCCACTAAAACCAGCTAAGAATAACAAATCACAAAGCATCATTATCTACTTTCACTCATGTTTCCAAATGCTAAAAAAGGTTTAAAAATAGCTCTAAGATACATACATTTCATCAGAAAATCATGTTAGAGAATGAAAATAAGAATGTCTAGTAAGATTTCTTCTAAGAATTAAAATTTATCAGATGGTGTATGTCTGCAAGTACAACACATCTGCACCTGATACAGGCAGCATTATGGGGATACACATTAAAATGGAAACTTGGTTTATTATCTGAACAGTAGTAAGCATTATTCTCAGAATCTCTGAATAAATACTAAATATTTTTATACTGCTTGACTTCTCTGTATAAAACCTGTGGCTATCACTGATTAAAATGCATAATAGCAAAAGATTTCTCTGGTTTGGATATAAAGTGTTTATATTTCCATTAAGCCTATTTTTAAATAACTATAAAACATTTACAGAAAATTAAAACCAGTACTTTCTTATGTGTTATCTATACACAAATCATTGGCAACAGATGAATTCCTAGTGAAAAAACTGGGAAAACTTTCAAAACATTAAAAATGCAGGACTATACAAAGCTTAGACTAACATTCACAGAACTTTTGTGTCACTTTTGCACAGGATGTCAGTATGAAGCATTTAATCCCCACTTTTCATAACTGAGCTGACTTCTGGTAGAAGAACCCAAGGATGCTATCAGATGTCTAGACAAGCTGTTGTTTAACTGTATGCACAAATTTTTCCATGACTTTAAGCTTCAAAAACCTTACAGTTTTATTAATATCTATCCACTAATTTAATTTTTGCTTAAATTTTTGATAACTATATAACTATAAAAACTACTTTTTTCACATTTCAGTTCCATGCATATTACTTTCCTACTATTTTTTTTTTGTTTAATAATTTCAGTTCTCTTTCATGATCTTGAAAAAGCATTATCATTCTCTATATTTTAAGCTCCCTATATGCAAGACGTGGATAAGTATATTTATCTTTTAAATAACTTTAGGATTTGCAGATGCAGAGTTTAAAAAAAAGTCATTCTTGCCTAAAACTAACCTTGGAATTTGGAGTCTGCAGCAGCCAGCTGAGCCATAAACTCTTTTTTATTTTGTATGTATACAAAAACAGGGAAGGAAACACACTCTTAAATTCTGCAAAGTATCACCAAAAAAAAAAAAAAAAACCAAAAAAAAAAAAAAAAACAAAAAAAAAAAAAAAAAAAAACAAAAAAAAAAAAAAAAACCAAAAAAAAAAAAAAAAAAACCAAAAAAAAAAAAAAAACAAAAAAAAACCAAAACTCTATGACTCTAGAATGGAATTTGAAAAGAACAGTTTATCTATAAAACAGTGTTGAAAAATATTCTTATATCTTAAAAAAAAAAAAAAAAGATTAATCTCCAGCAATTTGTCTTTCCACCTTCTCACAGATGCAGTTTCCAGGTACATTTGATGTGGTAGAAATGCCACCGTCTCAGGCTACATACCACATTACAAAGGCAGATGAAAAACCAGAACTGAAAGTTCAAGAATGACAATGAGGCATTTAGTTCCTTGATTAGATTTTGCTTCTAGAAAAGCACCTATGCTCAGGAAAAGGCTGGGTTCATTTTGGCATTAGCACATACTATGTAAATACAAGTCAGCAGCATGACAAGTTATTTTGGTCAAGAAAATAAAGATTCTAAATAGCATCTGCAAGAATCATGCCAGTCATAATATTCTGGGTTTTCCTCTTGTATCTCAGAAAGGATCCACAGCTAGGTTTGTCTCACATGGTGTAGCTTACAGGCACAGAATGATAACTAAACTTGAACTGAATCCCTGCTGGGGAGGTTTGAGATCGAAGTCCCACCACAAAAGCCAACAACCCTGGCAGCACTGGCAAATCTGCGAGGGTCATCTCCTTGATGACACACATCTAACATGTATTGTGGTGACTAGAATTACTAGACACACTTTTCCCAAAAAAGCCACTTCCTCTAGTGAGTTTTTTTCCTCAAACCCCAAGAAAGGCTGTTGATTCCTCTACCTTTCTTCCCTGTCCATCAGTACCATACAGATATACTCTGACTATACATAGTTTTCCCACTCTTCATTCCTCATGGGGAAAAATACAATATGACCACAATAACAAAGGTGTTCTGCAGAGTGTGAAAACAGGCTTTCTTCTCCTACCTACTGGCAGGAAAAATTATGTCATTCTTTAGATATTTGGAGGCACTAGAGAATACTGTAATGCATAGGCATTCGTCTGAATAAAATATCTACTCATAGGGTTTTAACAGAACTACAGGCCTTCTCTGGAGTAATAAATTAATAGTAACTACAATGCTTCTTAAGCCTACCCATTATATTGTGAACTAAAAAATGCTGCAGAAAATTTTTGTATCCTGAAGTATATGAAGAACTTACGACCTGGCTTCTCAGTTTCCCTGCACTGCTACTGTAACCCTATGCTTCTATTACACACAGATTTACAGAACCAGTCTATTTTCAACAGATTCAGTTTAGCAGCCACAAATAACCATGAAAAACAATAAAATAAACCAAAAGGAAATTAGAAAGGGGAGCAGAAGACAGTCATGGCACTGTCTTCTAATACATTTAATCCCCATGAATATGAAGTCCTTGTGCTTAAAATAAATCTCCAATGTCCATTTCTCAATGCTTCAAGGTAAAAATAAGAGTTATTTGTTAGCGAAAAAAAGAATGTCTGTAATTTCTGGAGGAGGTCAGCATCAGGTTTCACTCTTGACATGGTTTTTATATTCTATATAATCCCCAATGCAAAATTTTGCAGTTGAGATGCACTTTATGTGTATTCAGTCTCTTTACATTACTGTGCAGTGGCATTTCTGAGAGTGGATATAGTTCCTGTAATCAGCAAGCTGCTTCAGGTACAAATTTGAAGGCCATCGGTGCATCTCTACAAAATTGCGCTCTTCCACTAGAAAAAGAAATAAAGAAATTAAATATAATATATAGACATAGAACACACATGCACAGGCTGCAAGAAGTATTTTAATACAGATTAAAAACCATTAAGGATATAAATACAACTACAAAAGTAGAGATGAGTGCTGCCTGTTTTGCATTGAGCTCTCCTATGGCACAGATGTAGGAGTTACCACACAATATTTCCTTGTTATTAAGTTAGTAATAAAAAAGTTTTTTGAAAAAATGAATAGAATATTTGTTAAGGAGAGCAAAGAGACTTTCCTAAAGATGAGCATACTTTATCCCTAGAGGATAGTCATGGGTGGTATGCAAGGATTATTCTATGCTGCAGAACTGTAAAGCAGGGTATGTCAATTCCTGTGCCAGTAGTTTGTCTCAAGATCAGTACAGAAAGTGTACTGAGGTGAGGAGTGCAGCTAAGAATTCAGCAAGAAGATAATCTCTTATTGCATGTGGTTTTTAATCACTGACATAGTAATATAAGAGTCTTTTACCCATATTATGTAGATTACTCCCCTCTGCATTTGCAGAAAGATGCATTTTCATCCCCTTAACCGCAAATATTCCAGAGTCAGCTTGCATCCATTGCTCCTGGTTCCTTGAGGGCCTCAGACCAAGGCACAGCAGGGAGGCCCACAGCCAGGAGAGCCTGAGGGCAGGCAAACTGCACTCACATGGGCACAAGGCAGGGCTTCAATCCTCAGGGGAATATCCTACTAACCAAATCTGATTTCCTCTATGGCAAGGTAACCCACCTAATTGAGCAAGGGAAGCCAGTAATGTAATGTTTTTGGATGTCAGTAAAGCTTTTGATACAGTTTCTCACTAAAACAGGATCTTTCTTGACAAAACGTCCAGCCCACAGATGCATAAACACATTATGTGAAGGGTGAGCAACTTGCTCACAGGTCAGGCACAAAGGTGACTGGGGTGACATCAGACTGGGGACCTGTCACTAGCGGGACTCCAAAGGCCTTCATCCTTGGTCCTGTGCTCTTCAACATCTTCATAAGTGTCTGGGATGAAAGACTGGGCAAATTTGCAGATGCTACAAATCTGGGAGGAGCTGTTGACTTCCTCAAAGGCAGGGAGGCCCTGCGCAGAGGCCTCAATGAATTAGAAGACTGGGTAAGTTGAGTCAGCAATGTCCCAGCAGCCAGGAGGGACATTCCTGTCCTGGGGCCACCAGGCCCAGCATGGCCAGCCAGGCAAGGGAGGGGATTGTCCTGCTCTGCTGTCCACTGGGATGGCACCGCCTCAAGTCTGGGGCAGATTGGGCACTACAGTATAAGAATGGCATTAAAACTATTAGAGAGTGACCCAAGCAGGGCAGTAAAGGGCCTTGAGTGGAAGCTGTGTGAGGAGCATCTGAGGGCACTTGGTCTGTTCAGCCTACAGGAGACTCACGGGAGACCTCAGTGTGGTCTGCACTTCCTTGTGAGGAGAAGAAGAGGGGCAGAGGGGAAAAGAAGCAGCAGACACTTGAAGGGTATGGTCTGAAGTTGTATTCAGGCCTCCTTGGAGAGGTTTAGGCTAGATTAGGAAAAGATTCTTTCCCCAGTGTGTATTTGGGCACTGGAACAGGCTCCCAGGACAGTGGTCACAGCACCAGCCTGACAGAGCTCATGAAGCTTTTGGACAATACTCCATGGTGTGACTCTTGGGGATGGTGTTGTGCAGACCCAGGAGTTGCACTCAATGATCCACGTGTGTTTTTCCAACTCAGCTAATTCTGCATTTCTGTGAAAGTCACAGGTCTTGGAAAGCCCTTGGAGAGCCACTGCCTGCTGCTGTGTTGCTGTCCTGAACCTTGAGGTGAAGAGGTGTCACAGGTCAAAGAGATGCGCCGCTCATCAGGGTGAATGAAAATCACACAGGCAATGAGCAAAACTTTCTAGTTACACCACTGGAACCAAATACAAATGCTTGGAAAAATAAATATCAGGTTCCTGGAAGAAGCTAGATTTATTTACTTGAATGGGCCATCACTTTTTCATTTTATAAGATCTGCTGGAGCATACTATAAGAATCCTATTTTCTTAAAGGAAAACCCCAACACTTGAAGAAGTATCAAAAATGACTCATTACCTTGATTTAAATTAGCAAGATAACATGAAGGGGCTGACATACAATGACCAAACTGTTCCAGCAAATTCAGTTATGGGTGAGAACCTGGCCATCCCAATAGGAGCCATAAAAATAGTGATGCAGTGCTGGCTGTGTCATGTTGTGTGCTCATCCCACAGCAGCATGGTGAAACATCCTGCTGGAATATCCTAAAGAAACCCTAATTATTTTCTCCTGCAAAAATGGTATTATCCAGAACATTTCATCTCAGCAAAATATAAAAACATTTGTCTCTTCAAAATGAACAGAAAAATACCTGAAAGTTCTTGAAATTCAGGCTTTTGACTGAAGATGAGGTAGTTAGTGGCAATAAAATGAAGTAGCCAAGTTGAAAGGCAATCAGAATTGTGAAACTGCGGGAAGAAAGAAAAGACAAAAGGCTGCTTAATGCTATCACGTCTAAAACATAGCCACATCTCACCTGTCAAAATATTTCTGGTTTCCACTGTTAAGCAATTTACTAAATAAAGTTTTGATTATGGAAGATAATGAAGGAAAAGTCATTTAGCAGAAATATGTAAACAGGTGAACACCCAAGAACAAATTAACAAAGTCCCTCTCCCAGAGGAAGAAAAAAACCCTAAGGTATCATGAATCTTGGAAATTTTGACATCTGCACAGAGGCAGAGCTTCAACGGAATGGAGGGAAGGGACGTAGCATATTGGTTTTGTAGTCTCCTCTTTCTGCAGAAAATCCTATTTGATTAAGGCAATATCCTGCAATCTAGTTTTTATTCTCCTCTTCTGTTTTCCAACCCTGCCTTTATTGTCTCTCCTTTTTTTTTTCAGCCTCTAATCTTTTCTTTTCATGCTTTTATGCATTTCTCTCAATATTCTATGCAGTGTGTCCATTATAAAACAAATTCCACAGATGAGGCTGTGACTACAGGGTCTGGAGCCCAAATCTTATGGGGAGCAGCTGAAGGAGGTGGGGATTTTTATCCTGGAAAAGAAAATGGCTCTGGGCTACCTTATGACTCTCTACAACTCCCTGAAAGGAGGTTGTGGACAGGCGGGGGTTGTGGACAGTCTCTGCTCCCAGATAAAAAGTGACATGACAAGAGGAAATAGCCTCATGTTGTGCCAGGGAGGTTTAGGTTGAACAACAGGAAAAATTTCTTTGTGGTAAAGGTTGTCCAGTGCAGGAGCAGGCTTGGGTACATTGGTAGAGGCAATTCTGTGATTCTGTGACTGCACATTTGGCAATTAAAGGCTGAAGGATTTCTTCTGACCACCCTTGTTTCACCAGTTATCCCTAATAAACAGATTTTATACCAACATGTTTCCTTGGGAACAGAAATTGTTCTTAATATTTTTACAATTTTTAAAACAACTTATTAAAGTCAACATATATATTCTCATTTGACATGTACAATAATACCTTAGCTTTTTTGAGCAAGCTGACAATACTGAGACTTGTGGAAGCCAGCTCCCTGCTAGGCATGCTCTGAAGCTGCGTGATGATGTAAAGTTCACAAATATGCTGGAGTCTCATTACTTGGTACATCTCTGCACAGATCAGCAGAGACATCGCTTGGAGAATACTGGCTAAAAAACAAGGAGACACAAGTTACATGTATTTTACCTTTTTGATAAGATGATCAAAGCTATTTTTCACCAAGTTGAATTTTAAATACCTAACAACAAACACAAAATCAGACAGCTGTGATCACCTTGTTTTATTTTTTTTATTATTATAAATTTTTGTTTGCTGTATCACCTTATTTTTCCAGATAAGCTATTCAATTAAGAAGAAAAAATGTGTTTAGAACTTTTGGCAGATGGGTATAATGAATGGCTGTCAATATCTTGAATCTTGAAGATGATGAGCCAAATGCTGCTGATCTATTTAGAGAATTACTAAGTGGATTTAGCTAAGTTCTCTTTCAGAAAAGCACTTTTATGATATAAGAAAATATAGCAAAAAAAAAAAAAAGTCCAAGGACAAAAAAAGAGCAACTTTTTTTTTTTTTTTTTTAAATATAGCACAGTAGTTGCATTTTTAAACTGATAAACAAGGAAATGTTAGGTGGAGTGAAAAAAGAAACATGGAATATCTAAGAATAAGGTAGAATAATTATTTCAAAAGAAAACAGAAGCAAAAATACATATCACAGTATCATTTATTCATTATATCAAGGAAAAATTAGCTACATTTAAATCATGCTTTAGATTTAGTATTCAGATTTTCTTCTCATAAGAAAGATAAAGATTGAGAAGTAAAGAATATTTTAGCTCAATTTTTCTTGCCAAACACTCCTGTTGGCATATTTTCTGGGTTTATATACACATAAGATAACCATGTGTATAAATAAGGTATTGCTGCAATTTAACTTTGTTTATAATATGCTCAGCTATATGCGTGTTCAAGAAGTGACAACTTTTAAATATAACACAGAATCCAGACTAGAAAGCAATATTACTGTAATATAAAAAAAATATTACAAGTATTATAATGCATCCGAAATTAAATTGAAACCTGAGTCTTGTTATGTGAGCACAAAGCAAATAAATAATTTTATTAGAAATAGTTCTTCTATTTTACTTGTATAGGACGGATTTCTTTTTTTATTGCACAATATAAAAAAGTTATCTTTCTCGAGACATTGCACATTCAAATATTAGCATTTTTCAATTAAATAGGTGCTACTACATTACTCTACATCAATGCTCTACTGTGGAAAAATTAGTTAGAAGTATAAAAATGTATTTTACAGTCTCCTTACCTGGGCAGCAGGAGTCAGTGTAAAGGTACTCTAGGAAGGACAGGAAAGTGTCTTTGGAAACCCCATACACTGGAACCAGAATGCTATTTGCTTCTAAATAATTACCATTAAACATCGCTGCCATAACCTCACAGCGAGCCACCAGAACTGCCCTGTGGGCTGGTACAGTTGCACCTGCAGGATGCAAGACAAAAATAAATATACAGTGACTTCATATAACATAGAAAGATCTTAATTTTAAAGCTCATGTCTTCTTAGAAGGTCTTCACCCCACTGAACATGATTAAAGTATTGAAAGTTGACATTTTCAACACACTAGTTAAGTATGCATACTAGTTAAGATGAATCATGAATAGTAAAATAAAACAAAATCAACAAACAAAAAATTATTTAAGCCAAAATGCAATAGACTAAACCAACTGAGAATAGAATAAATAGAAAAAATTCCATTAAGTCCAGTAAGTAAGTATAAATTTAAGTAGATTAAATACTGTGCCTAAGTGCATTTCCTGAATGGCTGTCTTATGAAAAAAACACTGATGAATTTTTTTCCAGAAATTTATTAATTTTCTATCATTTGCAAGTGAACCCTTTGCTTTACTACAGCCTTTGGAAGACCTGGACAGGCCAAAAGCCCAGGGGAGTAGAGGCCCTTAAGGATGCAGAGTCCAGCTGGACTGGGCAGTCCAGCTCAGTATGCAAGGAAGTGCCAAGCAAGTGCCAGTCAGGACAGCAACCAAAAGTAAAATGAGCATTTAGAGTTGGATGCAAATTTTTTAATCAAAATTATAATAAACAGATCAACTCACATGCAATATATTGTATATACTTACAAAGAAGTTACTGCTTTAATTATGTCTTTAACCACAACATTGGCACCTGAGTAATTCTTTGAAGACTTCTGGCGTTTTTTGTCTTTTTTTTTGTCCGTTTCTACCCCCTGTACTTCTACTTTCAAAATGTCTAAGCTGCATGCTATATGTCCTGTATGTGCTTGTGAATGGACATTTATCTACTAATTAAGATGTTCAGTCAAGTTCTGTGTCTTTACACAGACACAATGGGCTCAAATTTTTCCTGGCTTCTGTAAGCTAGAAAGCTCAAAGCAAAGTTAAGTATCCAAGGAATTGCTCAAAAACTTACAAATGTGTTTGTCTGGTTAAGATTTGGCCTTAAATTTCTCTTAGTAGTTAATTAATTTTGATGCAGTTACTCTGATTGATGAATTTGAGAAAAAATTTGGAAGATGTATCAATTATTAGGAAAAACAGTTCACATTTTATTAGTGGATAAGCATGCTTTTTTAAAATACTTGTCAACCCATTCAGAGATTTTGGTTTTATTTCTGTAAAATACATAATGTTGTTCTGTTTCATCAGCTTCCCACAAAGACTCTCTCAGGAATGGGACACTGAGGTGATTTGTTCATGTCATTGAGCTCAAAATCAGTATTTCCCTCTCCTTTACAATGATGTTTTTGTGGAGTATTTTCTGTGTGTTAAACAGAACATCTAGAAAGAGTCTGCTTGTCCTTCTGTGTTTATGTTTGAGGAGCTAATGCTTCATATTTGTCCCTGAGATATATCTCTGAAAATAATTATCTAATTCTAGAAGACCATTTCTGCATGCAAGGTGAGTATAGACAGATAAAGAATAGTGTTAACTTTTAAAAACCATCTCATTCTTATTTTTACAAAAGCATGCAGCACATTTCTCACACTGCATCTTTCATTGTAACAATGAGAACATTTAATTTCCAGACAAAATATTGAATCCTGACACTGCAGCACATCAGGCAGTAAAACGTCGTGGGTGTCAGTGGCACCACTTCTGCAGGTCACCAAGCCCTGGTGGCAAGGACAGTGAAGCCAGTCCCTGTCAGCTTCTGCGGGACAAGGCATGTGCTTCCACAGCCAGCACCCACCTGAGATGGACAGGGGGATATTGGCCAGGAGCCAATAACCACCATCTCTGCTCTTTTCACTGAGAGCAACAAGTATAGAGATGAACCTCATGCTTCTTCAAGGTGTGATGTTAGGCAGAGCCCTTGAGTATGCCCTAATGCTTGTGCAGCTGGGAACAGAAGTGAGATAATAAATAAAATAAAATGAAATAAAATAAAATAAAATAAAATAAAATAAAATAAAATAAATACTGCAAAACGAAGTAGAATAAAACAGAATAAAAATAATGTAAATCAGGAGGCACAGTGGGCCATAACAAGAAGAGGGAATTCCTATAGGCTCAGATGGATCATGCTGGGAGTGGACACCGCTACAGGGCATCCACAAGCTTTCCCTGCTTTCTGCAGTGAGATCAAAGCACACATATTTCCTTAATTTTGATGCCATGGATCTATGTCCCACATTCTTGAAGAGGAGAAAAAGAGTAGAGGCTTGAGACCAAGGGAACAGAGGTACTGTACCTTGTATTTTGAAGATTACATCAGCCAGCACAGGTGTGTTAAAGAATAGCCTGAGAGAAGTATTATAGAGCTGTTTTATCTGGTGAGACTTGCAGTCTTGTACAGTGTTTAGCTGAAAAATAAATTGGTAATAAAGCACTGTCATGTGTGCCTGCACACAGAATTAAATATTATGGGACATCATTTATATGAGAAAATAAACAACAGCTTCTGGCATGTGCACTCCTCTGCAATCACCTTTTATCTTCTAATGTCCTATTCCCTGCAGTGAATTCCGCAGCAGCTCTGAGGGGTCTCTTGTCGCCCACAGTCACACCTCAGCTCTCTCCTTGGTATTCTTGACCTCTGATGAAACTCCCCCATCCAGCCCCTACAGGCAGGTTGGGCTTCATCAGTTTTCTGGAGTCCAAACCTTTGCACACATTCCCTGTGCAGACCCAATGCTGCAGCAAAACGAGGTTTGAGGGCTCTGTGGAGCGCAGGGATGGAGCACACATCCACGCTGCAGTGCGATGCCATGTACAGGCGCAAGGCAGCTGGAAGTTCTGTGTTTATATTGCCCTGGAATTGCCTCCCAGAGGCAGGGGGAGCTCACAGGCTGGAGCACATACTCCTCTTACAATAACCTGGTAGTGTCAAGACCCTCCAAATCCAGTACTCCCAGTTAGTTTTCAATTTTGGTTTACTTACCTTAAAAGTGTAATCTAAAGTTGCTAAAAGGAACAATATTAAAATCGTGATGCTAGATTGTGACAAGTGAAATTCAGATGAGCTTGGATTTATGGTTAAAACATTAAATTTATAGTTTTTTTTAGTTTTACTAAGAAAAATCACGATTCTTTCTTTTTGGCCTGCAAAGAAAAATGCTTAAATGGGAAATAAGAGTATCCTGAAGGCATAAAAAAAGAATAAAAGAAATTACAACAGCTCAGGCTCACTATCTTAAAAGTCTTCAGGCTCTCCAAGGCCAAACCTACAAATGTTTTAGCTGTGGGCACTAAGGGCTGGTAAGCCTAAGAAAGAACAGTCATAAACTGAAAAGAGTTCAGTGTCTTTTTGATGTCTATATTGTATTGTTTCAAGAGAATCTGAGAGGTTTTCCCTTTTATCTCAACAGAAATCATTAGAGAAAGTTCTATATTGTCAGGGAATGTATATACTCCAAGAAAAAAGTAAAAACCAATTCTATATTAAAACTAATTTTACAGTGTGACTTTTTATTAACTTAAGAATATGTTACATTTTTTCTGTGGTCTTCTACTGAATTAAATATATTGAGTTACAGACAGCTTTCCACATCACAGCATTTACATGAGAAACCACCCTTCTGGCTCTACTGCAGAAGACCAACTTTTGGCTTATGTCCAGGAGCAAATTTTTCCTGGGTAGCCTCTATTACATGGGAATTAGCAATCCATAATCATACTGCCAGACAATGTTCAAAGCTGTGAATATGAGGGTGTTGTGGTGCACCAGTTTAGTTGTTCTCTTGCACTGGGTGATTGGGAATTTGCACAGAATAGTTTTATATTGTACTGTATAGCTTATGTTACATCATGTGGTTTGTTACCCCTTTTCCCTATCACATGGTCTTTCCCTCACCTATCCCAGTACCACCTGGTGGTCTCTCCCCTGGGTTACCCCTCCCCTCGCCACTCCTCACTGGTATTCCATTGGCTGTGGACCTCTCCCTCTGTCCCCATCCCGGGGGGAATAAAAGCTCCCTGCCACCAGGGAACACCTTTTCTCCCATGGGTTTGTCCGCCTGATGTGTGTCTTGGAATAAAGGACAATGTTTCCCACGTGGAGGAGAGCATTTCTCAATCTTTTACCTTCGTCTATAAAGTATCGTGCGGGCAAGGGTCTATAGCTAGCCGGAGTGGACCCTGACAGCCCAGGAAACACGCTTCTTCATGAGTAATCCTTTTAAAATACCTGCTTGTGTGGTTTTTACCAATTACATTCATTCTGCATGTTACATCAGGATCTCTGTGTATGTGCCTGCAAACGAGCCTGAAAGCATGAAAAAGTACAGGCTGTTTAATCCAAAGTGACTTTAAAACAAAGACTGACAAGAAAACCTTGCCTACAAAACAATTTCTCAAAAACTTAAGGAACTAATGGTGACCCAAGGGAGTTAGATGTACCTTCCCTGGAGTTTTCAGGATGCATTTAACTTTCTCAAGCACATGTTCTGTTTTATCTGGATCCTTCAGCTTCTTTCTTATGTCCTCTTCTAATCGTTCCCACTGGAAAGCACCTATCACAAAACCAGGGGAGACAGATTAGAAATCAGCAAGGCACAGGCCTCAGCAGGCAGAGGAAAGATTACATCAATACCAAACACATACTACAGAAATGGGGGTTTGCACATAAATCAGCCAGACCTTTGCTTTTAGGAGGGGCACAATGCAATTTTTGCACATTAAAATTCCATGGTACTTTTTATAGTGCAACCAAGTACCAAATGACTACAGCATCTTGCTTTCACACTCAATGTATTAATTTCCTGCAGTTCAGTCACTACATATTGCAGGTAGGGATTCAGGGAAAAAAAAAATCCTTAATGTTTCAACATTTGTGGAATTTTTTTAGCTTCTGCCCATGCTGCTGGCTGCATTGTTCTGTAGATGTCTGAACTAGAAAAACTTAATGCACAGTTACATCCTCAGTCCTCATAGTTAAAATCAGCACAAGGTTTGCAGTAGAATTTCCGTCATTCTTGTTTTCTCAGCCAAAGCCATGACATTCACTGAGGTGTCTCCATAGCTTTCTTGGAAAAATGAAGAGAGTAAAAACAAAGATAGTTTGTCCTCATGCACTTTGCTGGAGAAAGTCTCAGAGGCACCATGGGGCTTTGTGGTAACTTTCAGTTCTAACCCAGTGTCATAGATTAAGAAGGAAGTGAATTTTTGGGAGGTTATGGTCAAACCAATCAGTGCTTGGATTTGAATACTGGCACCTGGTTTGGCCACTGAAAGTATGGACGCTTCTGAGAACACAGGGGGTTAAAAGCAAGAACTCCCAGGAAAACTCTCTTGGTCCCGGTCCGTGAAGGAGCTCAGAGCTGCCCTGCCCTGCTGGGGCTGGCCGGGGGAGGGAAGCCTTGCAGCCGGGCGAGGTAGGCTGGAGCCTTGGGCAGAGGAGGAGGTGAAGGCCTTGCAAGATGGAAGGGTGGAGGAGCCCTGAGAGGCAAGCCTCAAACCATGACACCCAGGACAAGGAGGAGACAGAAATAGATCAAGCTCAGTGACAAGCCCAACGCAGCACAGCCCTGAAGATGCTCTGCTGTTGAGAGGCTCAATCAGCCCCTACAGCACACAGCATCCTCAGCTCAATTATCTCCCATCTATACTACACTGGTTAAGGGTTTATAACCTCATGGGCATCATGTCCTGAAAATCTGAAAACTCATGATTTGTTCTCTTCTCAGTCTGTACCTCAAGCACCTTCCCCTCAGGGGCACCAAAAGCCACAATGACCCTCAGGCTGCAAGCTGAGAGTAAAGCAGAGTTCTGCCTGCAACAGCAGTTTCACAGCTCCTTGGCTGACTTAAAGGAAAGTAAAATAGGAAAATTAGTGCACACAAGGCATTAGACCCAAGCTGTAGATGGTAACAGATGAAGATGTTTAAAAAGATGTTCAGACTGGAGGAAGCGAGGCTCAGGGGTGAATTTGTTGCTCTCTTCAACTGCCTGGGAGGAGGTTGTAGCTAGGCTGAGACAGTCTCTTCTCCCAAGTAATAAGTGCAGAGCAAGGGGAAACAACCTCAAGTTGCACCAGGGGAGGTTTAGATTCAATATCAGGAAAATTTCTTCACCTAAAGGGCTGTCAAGCAATGGAACAAGGTGCCCAAGGCAGTGGTAGGATCACCATCCCTGGAGGCACTTCAAAGGTGTGGCACCTGGGGACATGGTTTAAGTGATGGGCTTGGCAGTGATGGGTTAGTGGTTGGACTTGATAATCTTAAAGGTATTTTCCAACCCAAATTATTAAATTATTATATGAATTAAAAGTACTGTATTTATCCATCACCTGCTGAAAATCCAGTTTTAATCCCATATCCTTGTCTCAAATAAGTAAGAACAAAAAAATTAATATATTCATGGATTTTTTTAATGAAAAACTTCTTCATCTGTTTTTTGTTCGTTACTATTTTGGAAAGAACTGCCTTTGATGTACAAACTCCAACTGAAAGCTGAAAGATTCTCTGACAAGTTGAAAAACATTTTATGAAGAACAAACAGACATTGGCTACTTCCAGGAAAAAAAAAAAAAAAACAACAAAAACCCAAGTCTTTCTGCTGAGGATTCCTAAGCAACATCTGAAAAGTTAAAAAAATATCAGTGCCATTTTGATAGCTGGCATTAGGTAGGTGAGGTCACAGTCTGTACCAGCTGGTAGCAAATTCATGCAACACACAGAGGTTTCTACACTCCAGCCACTTATCACTGTTTTCTCTTTGTGGCCATAATATTTTATGAAAAATCCTTTGCTAGGATTTTTCTCCTGAGAAGCTGAGGAGCCTCAGGAAAGAAATGTAAACAATAACTATCTGCTGCTGTGGAATGCAACAGGTGCATCTGTGATTGGTGCAGGTTGGTTGTTTCTAATTAATGGTCAATCACAGTCAGCTGGCTTGGACTTTCTGAGAGACACGAGCTTTTGTTATCATTCCTCTCCTGTTCTTTCTAGCCTTCTGATGGATCCTTTTCTCTCTATTCTTCTAGTATAGTTTTAGTATAGCATTTTAATATAATATATATCATAATATAATAAATCAGCCTTCTGAAACATGGAGTCAAGATTCGCGTCTCTTCACTTGTCCCGGGAGCCCACAGGGCATCAACCATACTCTTCAGCTGCACCATACTCAGAATAAAAATTACTTGAGTTTTCAAAAGTAACTCTGCACTCTTGTGATAGAACCTGCAACCATTTACAATATTTTAAAAGCCTAGGATCTGAAAATGACTCAAACTCCATTTTTTGGGCAAAATTTTGAATGTTATTGATGTTAGCCTATGGACTAATTTAATTTAGGCCCATTAAATCTGGAATGACAACTAACCTATTTTTTGTTACAGGTGTTTTTCATTGTGTATAATAATCACAAGGGATAAAATATGTGTGGAAACAAGGTGAGACATCATCTAGCAACAGCAAAGCCAGGTTCATTAAGGTGATGCACATATTCCTTCATGAGACAACAGGAAATAACGTTGTCAGATCTGTTCCCAGCGGGTACCTGAATAAATGAAGTGGAGGATGTCCGGGAGACAAGAGCAGAAGACAGAATCCTTCACCACCACCCTGACTGGTGGGACACAGGGTGGGACACCACGGGGGGAGGAGGGGAAGGGATCACCTGCCTCCACCACAAAGAGGCTCTGTGCCAGCTGCACAGTGGAGGCATCGTGGGCATCAGACGGTCTCTTCACCCCAAAGAGCAACATGAAGAGGTGGCTGACAGAGCAGAGGATGATCTTGTGAGCCTCCACTGCCGTGCTGAGGTCCTCAGGGTAGAAGGCCACATCTGCACACTGGCAGCAGCAGAGCAGGTTGTGCAGGTCTGCGTTGTAGTGCGAAGCTTCGCCCTTCAGGATCGGCATCTTTTCTGCAAAAGAAGTCAGGCTGTAAAACCTCAGTTTTACAATCTTAGTAAGTGCTAACCACAGGACAACTGACCTTATGAGGTCAGTTTAATTTTTAAAATAGATATTCAATAAGAATATTTCATATATTCTGTTTAAGTATCTTGAGTAAAATACTCTAAAAATGGAAACGTTTAGTACAGTAAGTTAAGACACAGTTTAATGGAAATGTCTGTCCTTTCATGAACCCTCTATAGAAAGTTACTCTGTAAAGAAACTTTGACTGTGTATTCCAAATCTAGGAGGTCTGAGCAAACTTTTAGAACATGGAAGAAGAGACAACTACAGATTTATAGGTAACTTGTCAGTAATTTTTTCACTGAACAAATGCATCAAATGCACAGAAATCTCATAAAGGTGTGTACTTCTCTCCTTTGCTTTATCTTCAGCAAACAAAAACACTATTTGATTATACTGTGGAATAATAATTCATGCTCTAAGAACTTCCTTTTGTAATGTCTGTTAAGATTTTATGGAAAGCTTTTATCAATTCATGTTTTCATAAGTCCACCAGAAAACAATAACTATTAGTTATATCTAAAATAAACTGGATGTAAAATAATCTGTAACATTGTGATGTTACAGATTGCCATACAATTTTCCCCAAGTAAATTAAACTATCACTAAAAGGCGATGCAACATAACCAGAATTGCTGACAAGAGATAGCACAGCTCATAGTAACAATTGTTACTAAAAATGTAGTAAAAAATATTAATTGTGCAAAGAAAGTGACACACATAAGGAATTATACTACAGGCCAGATATCAAAGAGCACCTGGCTGCTCAAGCTGAGGTGGTTGAACTCGATGGCACTTCTGCGTCTTTTTCCTTTTCTTCGTTTTTTGAGATGACTTCTGATTCAAACTTTGGATCATAAAATATTCCAGCTAAGACAAGAAATATATATATTTTTAAAACCTTGTTATTTAATAACAACCTATACATCAAATTAAGGGGTGTAACAGTTTCTGTATGCAGGGCTCAAGCTGCTGACACTCTTCAGTCATCCAGGAGAGTCCCAAAACTCATTTCCGAGAAGCTACCATATTTAGATAGAACTAGCACAATTTAAAAGACTATTTATTCAAATGCTTGTGGTTAATTCTTGTGTATTTAATCTTCCTAGAACTGACAGACACAAAGATATTCAATTTACTAACCTCTTTAGATGCTCATTGTATCTTGGGGAGTAGTCTCATTCAGCTGCGTGTTAGTCAGCAAGATAAAAGGACAGGAGTACAAGTGGAAAACTTACTGCAGTGCATCAGATAGCTTTCCTAAATCTTTCTACTTAAAACCAGAGCAATCTTGGTACTGCTAATTCAGACAGCATCACAGACTCATAGAACCCTAGAATGGTTTGGCTTGGAAAGTACCTTGAAGACCATTGAATTCCAATCCACCTGCCATGGGTAGGGACACTTTCCACAGATCAGATTGCTCCAAGACCCTTCCAACCCAGACAAGAACACTGCCAAGAATGGGGCACTCACAGCCCCCTGGACCATTCTGTTCCACTGTCTGACCACCCTCACTGTGAAGAATTTCTTTCTAATATCTAACTTGAATTTTGGATTGGTGGGAACTTGGCACTTGGTGGAAGGGTCCATGGTGTACCTCCCCTGGCACTCTGAAGCCCTCACATCAGTCATTCACCTCATGCATGTTCCACCCTGTTTCCGAAACTGCAGATTCTCACTCACCACTCCTCCAAAGTATTTCTGGATGTAGAAGTCATTAAGAGTGTGCAGTTCAAGGTAAGTGGCTCCAAGTTCCTTTGCAAGCTGGACTCCTTCAGAGGTTGTGACACAGCTCCTCCTGTCTGAAGTGCACAGGGGACAGGTGCAAGGCACTCCTGGGGTAAAAAGTGATGAAAACCATTTTGGCCAAACAATGCAGAATTCTTAGGTTCCTAAATAACTGTAAAGGTATCCTACTCAGAGGAGAGCAAAGAGGGAAATGAAAACACAGGAATTTTATAGTAAGAAATCTGTAATGACAGAAAAAAACCCCAACTTCATATTAATCAATTCAAAACACTAGTCACTCTACAAACCTCTATATACATTACATTAGCATTACTTTATTGATTTTGTTAAGGTGGAAGAGTTCAGCCAGACTTATGGATGCCAGATGTGGCTTTGACTCAATACCTATTCATGCCCAGGTCTTGTACTAGCCTGCAGGTGTTATCATTCATGAATGTCACCCTTAAACCTGTTGAATTATTGTGGCCTGTCCATGCAGGACACAGTGGTGAAAGAAGAAAATTTTCACTCCAGACCAGCCTTTGATGGGTTTGTACATATGGCAGGATCTGATTCATTTACATGTATTTCACATACATTAGGGGAAAAAAACCCCAAAAAACAACAACAAAATAGGTACTTTTAAGATTATGCCATTTAAATGTTAAAAATCTTCTAGCCACACTGGGTCAGCTTTGCTAAATGACACTAAGAATGTGCCAGCCATGGATGTGCTTTCAAATGTGCTGTGCATGCTCCACACTAATGTCCTCTGCCTAGACCTATGGATAACATAACAAAACAGCTTTTTCTGGAGTTTTTAAATCATTTGTTTTGGCAGCAACATTTACCACTACAGAGGATTAAGATCTTAGTAATCTGTATGAGCAAACTGCTGTGTTCACAAATACCTCCTAGAAACAAAAGGGTTCTGTGTGTGCACAGCAGTTTGCTCTGACAGGTCCCAGAGTAAACCCAGAGGTCCAGTCTGATGTCTCTCATGGCCACATTACTTAGGGAGGAAGACAGAAAAAAACTAAGTGGAAAAGAAAAAAAAAACCACTAGAGGAGTCACTCAGTTTGGTGATATCCTATTCTTAAACACAAAGTGTAAGGAAATGCTGGGGAATACAATTTACCAAGACCTTGCCTTTAGAATGGGAGATTTATTACTCCTGTATAAATCAGAGCATGAAAGCTTTTGGTCATGATCATTGAATTACTAAATGGAAGAAAGTAAATATTTAACTGTTATGCAGCTCTTCAACTGTCCTGTATCTGTCACTGAGCTAAAAGGTTTATAAGTAGACCATAACAACACTGAACATTCCATCCATAGAAGACATACTTCATATGGATTAATATTTCTATGTACAGTACAAAAGAAATGTCTACATTTACATTCATCATATCCCTTACTCATTAAAAGAAAGGATGCTCAGAAACATTTGTTTTAGTAAAGTATCATAAAGTAAAAGACAAGCCAGGGTTGTGGTTTTCATTCATTGTTTTAGGAAAAAAAATCCCAGGGAATTTCAAGGCTTTTCCCACTCTCTCTCCAGTGCTTTCAGAATGCTGGACATAATTTTAATCTCATACACTAGAGATACTTTATACCCAAATGTATGTTGCTTAATTCAAATTACTAGATTTAATCCTTGTGTGTGATGGCTCCACAAGAAGAGTCATTGCAGAGGTCAAAGAAGGATAGGTTGCCTTTCATCACTGGGGTTAATTAAGCACAGTGTTCTTGCCCGCACATCAATCTAGAGAGCCAAAATACATGTGCATACTACTGTCATCCTGACAGACTAATTGTTTCTGTTAGCAGCTCGGAAAAATAACCAGCTTCTACTGAAATTTCACTATCCCCAACTTCCAAATGAGCTTTTATCTGTTGTTACAGGAGGCTGGATACATACCGTTTTTTCTTGCTCCAATAGCAGAAATTATTACTGGAACTGAGCAGTGATTTAGTGCTTTTTTTACCATTGGCACATAGCTGTCCTTTAGTTCTTGAAATGAAGTCTTGTCATTGACAGAGTATTTAATCACAATAATATCAGCTCCTCCAATGAGCCTGCAGGAAGTGTACCAGTCACTGTCAAATATACCCTAAAAAGAAGGAAAAAAAAAAAATCACTCAAGAATTTACTGTCTATAATGAAAAAGATGAAATATTCTATATTCTTAGTGCAAAACTCTACATAATTTTTTGTCTGATTAGATCTTATTTGAAGACATGCAACAATGAGCAGACTTCCTGCTTTGTAATTTCCTTGTCTGGAGAGCAAGTTGTTTGTTATAATAAATCATAAATATTTTCCAAGAATTCAGGAATTCTGCAAGAAGAATTAAAAATAGGGTTTATCAGGGAATACTCTTTTCAGGAAGAATCTTTGCTGCTTTAATTACTTAACTTTAAAATTGTTTCGTTTAGGAAATAAAAGCACCTTCAGTGGTAGATATTTTCAGCAACTCATACAAAAATATTATTAATCACACCATTTTAGAGAAAGGATTACACAGAATTATCCTATGTGCCTATGAACTTTTAAATACAAACTTAATAATTCAGAGTGATTTTTATCACTAGAGCTTCTACATAGCTTTACCATGTGTTAATGTCTTCAGGGTAAGGAGTTCAATCACATACCTAAACTTTCTTTTTCAACTTCACATTCAAATTTTCATTGCTCTATCCTGAGGACTTAACCTCTAAAATTGTTTGATATTCTGTACGTTTACAGCTGTGCTGTATCCACATGCAATATATGGTTATTACTACTGTATTGGTCATAGAACTGTGATTCCACAATTTCTGCTTCACCTGGAGGTAGCTCATAAATACCAGGGAAAGCCTTGGCTTTGCATATATACTGAATTGAAAACTCATGAGAGAAGTCTGGAACTCATCCAGAGAACTGAAGAAAACCTCCAATGACCTGAAACACTATTGCCTCTTACAACAGAGACTTTTTTTGCCCTTTTTTTACTTAAAGGGGGCTTATAAAAAAGATGGGGACAAACTTTTTGGCAGGGCCAGTTGTGATAGGACAAGGGACAACGGCTTTAAACTAAAAGAGAGTAGATTTAGGTTGGACATAAGGCAGACATTTTTTACACAGAGGATGATGAGGCCTTGGCACAGTTTGTCCCATCCCTGGCAGTGCTCAGGGTCAAGCTGGATGAGGGTCTGAGCAATCTAGTGGAAGGTGTTCCTGTGCATGGCAGGAAAGAAGTAACAATTCTCAAGCACATGTTTATGGAGCCTCCCACCGGCATGGCTAGGGGGTTGGAATGGGATGATCTCTAAGGCTCCTTCCAACCCAAATCATTCAAGGATTCTGTGATTCTATGGCAGCCCTGTATAGCATGTGAGGCAAAACTAGAAGAACTTGGGACATTGAGGAAAAAAACTGGAAATTCGCAGCAGTGAAATAAAGACAATGTAAAGATAGGAATAAATGAGCAGAGAAGAAGTGACAAAAGGGGAGAACTCAAAGTTTGGGTAGTGGGGAGCAATTTGAGTTTGTAAAGCAAGTCACAGAAATAAAAGAATTGCAAATGTGAGTCAAGTACATAAAAGATTAGTAATATCAACAAGTGGCATGGCTTGCATTGTCAACATGACTATTTTTGATCACTTCAAAAGGGTCATTGTTTGAAATCTGGTGAGGTAGCTGCAATGCTTTTAACTACAAGAAGTAGCATGACCTTGATTGAAGTCAAAGTCAGCGAGTATTTGTCTAAAGTGTCAGTTCACATCATTCCCAATTCAGGTCCTGACCTTACAAAGAAATAACTCAGGAAATAAATTACAGTACACATTCCCATTGATCTCTGTAATAGAAGTTTTTGTTCAATAAGTAAACCACAATTAAAAATTTATCAGGAATAGCTCTCACATGATCTAACCATGTTGACAATAGAGGAGGTCAAGTGCACTGCTCTTGATATTTGTTTTTTTGAGACAACTCAGTTAGAGGCTATTATAATCCCAGGGTAAGGACAGTATCAATCAGCACTCAATACAATCATTTAGGTCCAGTTAATAATATAACATTTACACATAAATGCAAATTTAGCACCTCTAGCAGTAGGACTACCGGCTACAGTTCTTCGAGACAGCCATCTACATGGACATTTGGAGAACTTGATCACACAAGCAGGCAAAAATTGAGAATTTTCAAGGGACAGCTTTAGTACACTTTAGTTGATTAAGATCTCAATGGAGAACTTTTACCAGAGTTGTATACATTTAACATAACAAAGGTTTAAAGGAAAAATGCAATACAACCCCAAAAATAATGTGGAATCTTTATCTGTTCTATTATGCTGGCAGACAGAAGGAACATCTGTCCCTTTGCAATTTCCTTCCAGCTAACCATTTTCAAGATCAGCCCAGATTTGCACCTGCCCATCTCTGCAGGATTGGAGACAATGTGTGGTATCATAAGCAAAGAGTAGAGCACAGGTGCACAAATACACTGTAACTGCACAGCTTTAAGCACCAGTAATAAAAAATGCTTATGGAAGCTTCCTATGGAATTTAGTATGTGAATTTTTATATTGTTTGTATATTGGTTTTGTGGTATGTTTGTGTATTGTTTTTCAGTCACTTCAGTGTACAACAGAGCTAAATCTCATGTGGCATGAAAATCTTACAAAAATATCTCCAGCAATTTGCACAAAACATCCCTGACACACAGCATCTAGAGCCTCCTTCTTTATTGCTTTTGGAGAACTGTTCATGCAAAAATGACAGAGGGAATGTAATGAGATGATGAACAGCTGTTACAATTCAGGAATAACCTTAATCTCCTTAATTTTTTTTTTTGTAACAGCTACTCTTCATCATGCTTCCTGCTTCATTTCACAAGTCAGACACTGGCAAAAGGAAGAAGTATCTGCACAGATAAGGTTATTATGACCTTATTAATTATAATTTTAATTATATTTCTGTTGCTGTTCCATTCAGGACACATTAGGAAAAAAATCTTCATTCTTTCCTTGCATGTCTTCATTTTAAGTGTCTCATAACATATTCTTGCCATTAGTAAACTATACTTCTCAAGATTCAATGTTGAAAATAAAGCTCTCAGAGACATTGAAGATATGATTTTCCTACAAAATCACATGATCCCTCAAGACAATATTTGCTTTGTTAAAAATGATTTATGAATGCCTTTCTGAATGGCAGTGAAATTCCTCACACAAGTGCCCTTGCAATGCCCACACTCTTTCTGAAATCTGCTCATAAGGGTCCCCATGTCCAACCATCCCAGCCCTCGCTCTGAGGCAGCAGCAATGCAAACCACTCTGTGGGGAAAAGGGCGTTTGGACATCCCGTAGGAATGTTCCCCTGGGATTTCCCCAGGATCAAAGAGAACTGCATTGGGAACACTGGAGAGTTATCCCTCTCTATGATCCATTTACAGACCCAGTCTCCATTACCAAAACCTTATTCACAGTGATGTTCTCCACAACACATACCAGAGCCTTCTCTGTTTGTTTTTTTTTTTTTTTTTTTTCAAGATTCCTCTGCAACTTCTTATCAGGTCTGCAGCAGGACAGATTTTACTGGTGTACTCTCCATAACTTACTAGTCCCCTGAACTTACTCAGATAAGTAATCTGCAGCACAAATGGAAGTACCTCCTCCAGAAATCCCCCTAAATATCCCCCTCACAAAACAAAGGAAGCTCATATTGGCCTCTGTCATCCTCTCATAAATGAATTTAACAGTATTTTTTACCAGGATATGATAATTTGTTGTAAATTGCCACTTCAGGCATTCAAGCTTAAAAATGAGAAGGAATGACACACTGAAATATGAAAAGTTACTAGCTGTCAGTTTTTACTGAAGCAGTAATATGTCTAGATTTCTAAAAATAGTAAATAAAATCTGAAAGTGGCTCAGATTCCTGTACCTTTAGACATGATATAGGCTGGCCAGCCTTGGCAGCATAAGGAGCATAAGAATTATGATAAAGAGGAAAAAGCCAGAGAACTACACAATGGATGATATCACTGACATAAGAAAACTCAATGTTTGAGGAACTACTCCTGTTGGTACAGTAAATAGCAAGGCAAAAATACAAAAAGATTCAGGGAAAGACATTGTTGTAAGGGAGAATTAGAAAAAAGTTCACAGAGCATCTTCTCAAAATTGTAGTTAATATTTTTAAGCTGCAGTTAATATATTTGTGTACTAGTGAGTCCCAAGGAGGTCTGCAGCTCTGTGCAAGGCCCTGAGGAGACACAGCAGAGCATCCACCCCTTTTCAAGTATCTAACCCAGCAGAAGGCAACCTCCAAAACCCAGTTGCTCTGTATTCCCCTTCTGTAACATTTCTGTACTTGATAATGTCAGTAAGTCTCTAGAAACTCAGCAGTTTTTATAAAATAGCAGAAAGCTAAAAAAATTCTGGGGGGTATTGTTTCTCATGGGAAAAATAAACCCAAACAAACCAAACAAAAGCCACAAAACCAAAACAAACAAACAAAACCAGGTGGGTCTTAGTAGAAAAAGTTTAAAAGGGCAGCAAGACCCCGAGGCCAGGACAGAAACACTCTCATATCCTAAGGGTATTTCTCCAAGTAAGAGAGGGGAGAACAAGAGTTACTTCAAGTAGGGAACATTACAAAGGACTTTTTATTTTGCCATTTATTTTCCAGCACTGTAATTAAATGAATCAAAACATGAATTACAGCTTCTATACTATGCTTAATTCTGGACTTGAGGAAGATTCATGTGTCACTAGATATTAAAAATTCTGCCTGCATTTTTTCTGCAGAAGCATAAAAAATTTTAGAGTAAAGTGGAATTGCAAAATCCAGGCAAGTCAACAAAATGGCATCTCAGTCCTGAAGACTGTCAAATCTAACACAGACTGTCAATTAAAGCAGTCTTTTTCAAAGCTAGTCTAAAATTCATCTTACAAATTTCTCCTTATGATTTACTAGCTCCATACAGAGGTTTACCTCTCCAAAATTAGAAAAACTGGGACATTCTCAATATGCCCTATTATAGAGTAGTTTAAGCATGCATTAGCAACTGATCAGCTATTAAAATCACAATATTCAGCAGAGATGTTAGCACACATGTGTTTTCCCTAGTTCTTTATGTCTTCTCTTACCCTAGGTCTGCATTTTTTGAGAAAACGTTTGGAGGCCACATGATTTACAATTATGTCGGTGCACTGTGCGCCTGTCCCCTGCGCACAGCAAGCAGCTCTGCCAGAGCAAGCCACAGTGGTGCACCCAGAGAGTGGCACACAAAGAGCAACCTGTCCTTGGAAACTCTGACATTTTGCCCCCAGATTTTGAAAAGTGTGGTGTTTCACTGCTGTCTCTACAGCCTTGTGATATTATAAGGTTCCCAAAGTCAGTGTTTCCATCCTGCACCCTGCAACTTTCAGAGGAAGGAGAGCTCCTCACAACATGCGAGTTTGCATGTTGGCAAACATGAATTTATCTTTGTAATTTCCCAAGGACACCTGACCTGCTGACCCTCCTGCAGAATCAAAAGGCTGAGCAGTATCCTGGGCTGACAGGTGCAGCAGCAGACTAAAAATCAAGAAAATTAAACTGCACCACAATCTGCCATGCAAAAGGATCCCCCCACTCACTGTGGAACTCTAGTCAGTAAAACCACATCAACACTGCTTTTCCACACTGATGGCTGTGGAAGACAAAGAGCAGCTGGGCACCCCTGAGTTTTGAGACACAGCTATCAGTGTACTTAGTTGCCAAGTTCATGACTAGGACTCTCTTGCCTAAATCACATGGGTTTAATCTAGAGGAGGTACAAATCCCAGGTAAAATGCAAATCTGCCTTGTGCTCAGATGGCAGAGGCTGAAATACTGCAAGGCCCACCATTCCACCACCTCTGTGTTTTGGTATCATGTAACACGGATCCTTCTCCATCCAGAATATGGCTTGAGGCAACACCTGGCAACATTTTGGATTGTTCTGTGCTGTTTCCCCAGGCTGGCAGAGGAGCAGCCCTGAACCAGCCACTGTGACATTGTAAACCTTAAGCACTCAGGCTGTGTGAAATGGTCCTGCTCTGCCGTACCCTACCAAGGACACTGCTTTATGCATGACAAATAACCTCCTGCAGAGTTCAGTCCTGCTATCTGACAGGTCTTCCATGAAGAAAAAATTGCTAATTTGTCCTCAACGTTCTCAGTAATATATCTCCTGCCTTCTTTAGCTGATAGAGGGAAAAAACCCTGCCTTAGAAATGCAGTGACTCAGACAATAACAAGCTAACTTTTGAAGGGCAGAAATTATAAGGTCTCCACAACTTAACCTTGTTCTGTAGAAGGCCAAATGCAGTTAAAGCAATGTCTCCAATCTATGTCCTTGCTTCCCCTTCTCCAGCTACCCCCACTTGCCTTCCCACCTCCCTTACCCACCCCCCTCCATCCCTCTGAAACAGCCTTTGAAGCCCTACAGACTTAATTTATATTCAGGAGATTTTACTCTTTGCTGCACTCCGGTGACTCCAGCAAACTGCACGTGCAGGTCACATGCAGCTTCACAGCTTAGAAACAGGATCCCCCAGTCCATCTGAACTGGTGTCTGTAAGCAGCTGGCAAAAAGAAATAAAGAGCAGAGGGACAGCTAAACTGGATTGTTTCATTTTAAGATTGCTGGCTTCTGATCATTTCATGGAGCTGTTATGGCTCCTGCAGATTCTACAAAAGGTTTCCCTCACAGGAGTACAAAAATCACCCAATGGATAGAATTACGGAGCTGAAACTGATTATTGTTTTAATTTCTAAAATCAGGTAAGCTGAGTTTTTTTGTTTTTTTTTTTTTTGTAAGGCTACTAAGTAGTCATTAAATATGTTTTAATTTAGATTATCAGTATCATTTCTTACATAATCATTGATCTGCTCACACTCCAAAGTAAGTTTTCTCACTTACTAGCAAAAGGCCCAGCAGAGGTTTGTTTATGACAACTTTTTTATAGCACATTGGAGATTTCCTAGCACTTGCCTGGCTACATTTTATAGGTTTTTACTAAATTCAATAATAAAACTACAAATAAAATCCCACAACAATGAAAATCATTTAAAATTAGGATATGGTTTCATTTTACTAAAACAGCTCACACTGTTAAGTGTAGTAAAAAAGACTGAGACGAATCTCTTACCCAGACAGGGCAGTCATGTACCACTAGTCTGACATTTCCAAATACGCAGGCTTGATACTCAGTAAAAACTGGGTTTCCAACGTAGAAAGACAAGCTGCTGTCGATCTGGGAAATGAGAGCACTTCTCCCAAGATAACTCCAGATCAGGCTGGGCTGCTGATTGTCCTCAGAAAAACCATCTCTTTCATTCCCAAAAGCTACAATATTAACCGACCTAGAATAAAAACAAGAAAGACAAAGTTGTGTTAACAAATATGAAGGGCAGGGATAAGGAGAAAGAAAATAAAATCCCCTTAAATCAAAACTAACATATTAATCCTTCCGAATCCTCTTCCCTCCCTAGATTTTAACACCCTCCTGTAATCAACAGCAAAACACATACATGATCTCAAATCCAACTGCAGGGTGGGAGCAAAGCAGAAAAGAAACCTGGAAAGGCTGCTTGCATTGCAAATCCCAGCGGGTTTGGCTTGTTATTTCTTGGTATCCAGGCTCAGTCTCGCTGCGGTGACCTCGGGGACTCCTGCCGCATTCCCCCGGCTGTGGCCAGGCCGGGTAACTCGGGGTTGGCTGCTCCAGGCGATGGACTGCAGCCGCACGCCGGAGCTGCAGCAGCGGCAGGATCAGCAGCAGTCGCAATAACAGGAGCAGGATCGGGATCTGCAGCAGGATCGGGATCTGCAGCAGCGGCGGGATCGGCAGCAGCAGGATGAGCAGCAGCCCGGGCTGTGGTGGCCGCGGTGCCCCGGCGCTGTCGGGGAAGGCGAAGCCGCGTCCGGCCGGGCGGTCCCGGCCACCGCATCCTGACGTCAGCCAGCCCCGCAGAGCGATGGGCAGAGCGAGGTGACGAACGGAGGGCAGCTGCCCCAGGTGAGCAGGGGCAGGGAAGGGCGCTGGGGCAGAGCCTCGTCCCACCCGGCACGCCTTCTGCTGCCGCCCGCCCGAACAGGACCAGCATCCCCACACCAGGGGACGGTGCCACCGCCTGTCTGCACCAGGGGAGGAACCTGGGACTATCACAGCCGAAGGAGAGAGCGGTGTAAACTTCCTCTTTTGAAGTATTTAAACTATTTTTTATTACTATTTAAATAATATCTATCTTTTCAATAGGCTGTTCAAAGTGCTTTCATAGTAGGCTGATTAGTAATACAATTTCTTAAATGCCACGTGGGGTTTTTAGTGTTCAAAAGCACAATTTTCCAAAAGGATGCTCTCGCATTATAGTAAAACAAACACAAATCACAGAATGGTTTAGGTTGCAAGGGACTTCTGAAGATCACCTAGCCCAACCCCCAATGCAGGGTCACTTACAGAGGTTACACAGGAAATATACTACATCTGTTCTAAAAATACCATTTGCTGCCACAAACCACTATATACATTAAAACAAAAAAAAAAAATTAAAAAAAAGAGTAAAAATGTTTTAGGCATACTAGATGGTACACAATACTCTGTGTTATGTGAACACATGCTGCTGTTAATCCCACGGGCAAGAACTCATTCAAAACAGAACTTGATACGATTATCAACAGAATAATGAATAGAGCTTTGCTTTCAACAATCCATACTTTGAGAAAAGTACTGTTCCACTATTTGCAACTTTAGGAGATGTCATTTGATGTCACTAACAAAGTTTTATACAGGTATAATACTGAATGGCAAGACCATTTTAATAAAATGTAAGTATTATTGTCTGCTAATGAATGCTAATTTATTATTTTTATTATAAATTGTATAGGGACTTCTGAAAAAGAAAAAACCCAAAGAACAAAACAACAGATAATTTCCCAGCCTGTTTGTTTTCACACACTTTATCCCATCCTAGCTTCTGCTTTTCAATCTAGCTTTGCTCTAGAAAACTAAAAGACAAATGACAAGTGGAGGTTTTGGTTTTGTTTCCTGGAAAAAAGTTAGAATGTATATTTCATAGGTAAGTTTTAAAAAGTATCACAGGAAACCACTGGCTTTTTCCCCAGATGATCCTCTGACTGTGATGTATCCCTGTCCACATCCAAAGCCTCAGTGGTGTCCAAATACATCATGTTGTGAGTCAACAGAGCACTCAACATTTTGCAACCATGACTATTTGTGTACTTTTTAAAGGTCACTGAAGATCTCTTGGAATTCTTAAATTTTCATTTGTAGCAATCTACCCATTGAAAATGAGGAAACCTTTGGCAGAAAAGTTCTTCATATCACTAATGAGCCTGACCTGGTATAACTAAATGCATAAATAGCTAAAAAGAGAAATAAATGTGCACATGCATATACAGACACAAGTCTGCACACACAGATTTATATAACCATATGTTTAAAATACATGCATGCATATTATAACTACAACACACCCACACATGCAGATGTGGACACTCATACAGATAGTTGTAATACCAAGAAAAACTGGACTGGTAAATAAGGCAGTACTAATGAGGAGTGACCCAACTAACTCAAACTCTAATTAACATAGCTTATTCATTGCGGCAGACCTAGTCCTGCTTAGGGGTGACAAGGGTAGGAGTACCAACTGAGATGGAAGGTCACAGAAAACATTTTTGTTTTCCTCTCACTTCTTCCTTCAGTCACATGGGAAACTACTTGGGACTGACAGAAGTATCAGCTTTGGGAAAGGTGTGCAGATGGTGGATGTGAGATTCATCTCAGATGATGAACAACACTTAAAGCTTACATACTCAAAATACACTGAACTGTTTTAATAACAGTTTTCCAGCAATCAGATGACTGAAAACAATATTTAAAAAGCAAGCATTAAAATCGGAGAATGCTGTCTGTTCTTCTGTCAAAGTAGGTCCATAATCCTATTTTTGCTTGCATTGCTCAGGGATTGTGCAATGCATTTCAAATAAACAAACAAACAAAACAGGAAAGGAAATGAGTTCACTTTGGCAGGATAATAAACACCAAGAACAGGGAAGTTTCTTGGCACCCCTACCCTAGATGCATTCTACAAGTTACACGGGCACTGCAAGAGAAAGCTGCAAAAGATTGTTTAACTGAGAGGATTACAGAGGATTGCTTGACTGTTCTCTGTTTGGCAATCGGAAAGTTGAATACCCTCCTGTGATCAGCAAACCTTTCATACACCAAGCATTTGCCATTGCTGCTGACAAACAAACAGAGACTAAACTGCAGAGAAGGGAGTCTTTGACAAGGTCCAGGAAACAATCGCATATTCGGCCTTGTGAAGTTTGTCCTGGAACATTTTTTTTTCAAACCATTTCCGTTGTAGCTTTCCAGTGAGTACCTCAGCACTGAAAACAAATACACAGTCGTTAATGACAAAGGGGAATGATATTTGCTAGTGAAAGGAAGTAAGTGCAGGTAAGTCAAGGAGGAGGATTTTTCGCTAGTGTAGTCTTATGTGCATTGATCCATGCAGAATTATCCGGCCTTTATTTTCAGGACAGTGAGGAGATTTAATGTACTTGAAGTCAAAGTCGTTGCCAAACCTGCTTATTAGGTGAATCTGCACAAAGCTGCTGCTGCTGCTGCTGCTGCTGCTGCTGGTGTAGTTAGCTTCAGGTGCAAGAGAAAACGTGTTGTGGTAGAACAGGTAAATTTCCAGGGGATTTATTTATTTATTTATTTAATGATAGAATATAATTCCAAATAACACTAATACACTTTGCTGTACAGACCTGTTTCCTCCTAATACTGGGGAAAAAAAAAAAAAAAATCCTGTGATAGGCTTGGCTTTACTGGTGCTTGTCCAGAGTAGACATGGCTGCTGTAGGATCTGCCAGCCAAGACCCCCTGCTCGGACAAAGCACCAGCAAACAAAAAGGAGGTTTTCTGTTGTTGTAGCCATCTGCCACATCCCCATCAACAAAAGTCACCTCTGTGTGTGTGTGTGGGAAAGGAGGGGAGGGACAGTAGCTTTTCTTAGCATAACCATGCCAGAAAAGTCATGTAGTGTTGTTCAAACTTGGAAGCAATTTTTTTTTAATTTCCACACATAAACCACAGAATGGTTTGAGTTGAAAAGGATCTTAAGGACCACCAAGTTCAACCCCACACTGCATATTCAAGACTGTTTCAGGCATGGCACAGGCACTCACAGCCAGAGCCCAATGTCTCTCCAGCCCAAGAGATTTCACTGCTTGCTAGAGGTCACAGATGGAGGCATCAAGAAAAAACAGCTCAAATTCTAAGGCTTTTGTGTCAAATTGTGGAATGGCTATCCTTGGACATATTCAAGTTTCACTGAAGAAGTCCTTGCATAACCTTAGCCCTTTAGACATGTTTGGAGAGGAGGCTGGGTTAGATGGCCTCCGGAGGTCCCTTCCGACCTGAATTATACCCTGACTGCATAAATCTCCTCCTTCCTGGAGAGTGACCACTAAGCCCTGTCCCTCACTTCCTCTTATTATACCAGCTTTCAACTCCAAAACCAACCTCTCATCCAATCTTGTGGCAACTTATTTTCTTTACAAAGTTTAATAAGCTTTGCAAAAAGCTTCTCAAAGGCTTTTTGAAAGGGAAAGAGGATTATTATGTCCACACGACCCCTTTTATTGGCATACTTATCACCCTTCCTCCAGAAACCAGTAATGCTGAACTTCACTGGAGCCTTTCCAACAGCTTCCCAAGAGACTGTGTTCATCCCTGGATCTAATTTTCTCACAGACTGTGTCATCTCACCAGGATTGGTAGCTGGTCCCAGTGCTTTGGCGTTTTCCAGGCCTTTCTAAAAGAGTTTTTTAATATATTGGTGGCCTCCTATGATACATAGACCCCAGACACAATTTTTTTTTCTTGTCACAGTTTCTTATGGCTGATTTTATCTAATCCTGTCCATTTATTAACATCTATATTTACTACTTTTTTTTTTCTAGTCTTAGTGAATCAAATCAAGTAATACGAGTGCTGATGCCATGACAATTTTTTGCCTTTTCTTTTATATACCTTTTATGTATTCTCAGTGCCCTTAGCATGCACACATGTAATTCTTTAAGTCTGATAACTTACCATAGTCCTGGTATTCTGTTAGGCCACAAGACCAAATATCCTAAAGGCCTCGCAGTTGGAGGCCAGAAATCCTACACTATCTTGAGAAACCAAGGTCCCTTCTAGAATACATCCTGTAAGCTAGGATTAGGCCCATCTAAGGGGGAATACTTCAGCATAAGGAGATATCATGCTATTCATTCAAACCTCTAATTAGAGCATCTTTGTTAGATATGCTAATTTACAAGGTCTATAAAATTTTACATGAAATCTACCGTCTGTGTGCATTTCTGAGTATTCCACCTTGGAGAAGTGTCACACCATAAAAAATCCTTATTCAATACCAAAGTAAAAACCCTTTATCCCTTAACCATGTCTGGCTCTTAATTTTAGGACCAAGGAAAAGACATCAGTGCAATATTGAAACAAAAATATGAAGGGGGTGGGGAATTATCTGATGAGAGGAGAAGAAGACAAATGTATGTCACTTTTAAATTTAAAAC